GCCGGTGCTCTTATCTGCTGAGCCATCTCTCCAGCCATAAAGTTTTAAACACCAGGCTGGCTTCAACCTTGTGAGTCCCGGTAGCTCAGGCATGTGCTATGTGCCAGGCTTTGGTAAACTTTCTCTACAAGTCAGCTTCTGTTTTACTACCTGGTCAGGGTTCTCAGTAACACCTCACAAACTCTTACAGACTCCAACCCTGAGCACAAAACCCACAAAACCGTTCTCCTTTCCCCCAAACAGAGCCCAATTTGGCCCAATATTCATTTCACTCCCAATAAAGAGGCCCCAACCTAGGAGCTAAGTCTGATTGTTCAAAGCTTATTGCCATGAAACCCATTTGGGGCAGTAAGGTGTGGCAGGAAGAGCTGTAGGGGTCATTGGAATAAATGTTTCTTTGTCTAAGGGTGTCTAGGTAGGTGGGAAGCTTTCTTGTTTATTTTTTGAGACCAGATCTTAAATCCACTATATAGCCAAAGCTGGCCTTGAACTTATCCTACCTCTGTCTCTGAAGTGCTGAGGTTATAAACATGGGTTACCACTTCTAGCATATTGGAGATAGGGTAGCACTGTGTAACCCAGGCTAGCCTTGAATTCTCGATGTTTCTGCCTCTGCTTCCTCAGTGCTGGGATCACTCAGTCTGTGTACTCTGGGCCACCCTGGTTCCACTGTAGCATATAGAGATGTCCTCTCTTAGTCCTGAGATGGATACAAACAGAGACAAGTCTGGATTGACACCCCCCACCCCCCACCCCAGGAAGCCCTCAAGCTAGAGAAGAGCCGTCTCTACCCAATTACCCTACATGCTCTAATCCCTTCTTCCACCAGGATGAGAGGACCCTCGGTCTATTCACCTGTTAGTCTGGTCCTAGCATTCCTAAGAATGTTGAAGTAACTCACCTTGTTTAAGATTCATTCCCTCTTTCTAACTATGGGCCTGTTTGGGGAGTTGTTGTTCCAGTCAGGGTCTCAAGCCTCAGTCGGGCCGAGAACTCACAAGCCATCTCCCTCAGCCTTCTGAGTGCTAGGATTTCAGGCTTGTACCACTTTGTTTCACTAGCATATGGTTTTGCATCCTGCAGCTAACAGGACTGTCCTGGCTGGTGTGGACACCTAAATGGAGCACAGAGCTGGATCCCTTTGTAAGCTGTGAGAGCTTCAGCGATAGTCAAGTCTAAATGGCACGAATTCTGCCTAGATTCATCCAGTTTCATCTCTTGGATTGTAGTAATGATAGCTACAGTCCACAAGATGTTTTGGTGTGTTTCCATCCAAATAGGTCCACCATTTAAAAATGTACCCCTATTGGATTGGATACTACAGATCACTAAACACCTATCATGGGCTATGCCAACTTCTCTTGGTGTAAGAGGTGGTTGACATTTAGCTAGAAACTTAGAAGAAAGATTTGTTTTATTTTTGAATATGGATGGGAGGGGGTGCAGGTGACTGCAGATGCCCTCAGAGGCTAGAAGAGAAGGTTGGGTCCGCTGGAGCTGGAGTTACAGGCAGTTGTAACCTGCCGTGTGGGTGCTGAGAACAGAATTCCTGCAAGAGGAGCATACGGCCATACCTGGTGAGTCGTCTCCCCAGCCTTAGCCAGGCACTTTTAAAACACCTGAGAGGAAACTAAGACCGAAGCTTACTCTTAGTGACGCACACAGAGCCCAGCCATTCAATGAGAGACAAAGACCGGGAGTATCAAGGAAATAAAGGTCCTTCAAAATGGTCAGCCCTTGTTCTGATTAAATTGTGCATTTTTAACATAGTTGGTATCAAGTGGAACTTTAAAAAAAAAAAAAAAACATGTGGATATGTAAAATAAAGTGAAACCTGCTATTTTTCAGGGTCAGCAGTATCACGGTGAGATTTGTCTCTTAAACAATGACACTTGGTATCTCTGGAGTTCTATGAATACTTTTGAAGTGTCATATTAAAACCAATCTCGTGGCCTTGAGGCAAGGGGAAGCAATTAGTCGTGGAGTTGTGAATAAATAAAAATCCATTTATACACCCGTCCTTGACATGTGCCTTACGAATCTTAGAAACTTCATCTAGAGGGAAAAAGAAATGTTAAATCATGAATACCAGTCCTAATCACATTGCCGAGTGGTTTCCTAAAACAGTTGAGTTTATTCTAATCTTTTAAGTGTGAATTTATATGTATGTATTCGACCGTATTGAGCAGAAAACAAAGAGTCACCCACAGCCACTCGGATGACAAGAAGTGAGGGGTGCTGGGGCCTATTGGGGCTATGACACGTAGCTTTCAGAGGGTCCTGGGTCCTCAAGGGAGCCTAGCATACTCTCCCGGCTCTCCCATGTTTCAAAGCCTAGGGAAGGTTCTCTCTCTGAAGTGAGCCATTCACATACCAGCCAGCTCCACTGAAGTCGCAGTCCTTGCAAAGTGGTTTTCACCTTATTCTAAGGGTCAGCTTCTTCAACACCAGGAGGGGAGGGGTTTACTGTTTCTAAGTTCCACTACCTTGAACTGTCCAAAGCCTGAGGAAGCCAGCAAAAAACTGAGCAGATTATCCAGCTGGGGAAACAGGACCTCACCTGCACAGAAGAGTAACACTGTTTAAGCAAAGCTGGGAACTAGAAAGCCCAAGGGGTTTCGGAGCGTGGGAAGCAAACGTGGGCAGCCACGGGCCCCCACAGCACAGATCCCTGACCTACTTCAAGGGCCCCTTTCTGTTCTAGGAGTAGCTTAAAATCCATAAATTAAGGAAATTAACTGATGGGGCCTGCGGCATCTTTGTAAGCTATTTAAATCTATAAATTTACAACATCTTCTGCATATATCAAGTAATTGAACTAACTGCGGGGATGTAACTTTAATGAGGAAATTTCCCCCTTTCTCCAGTAGTTTGAGATAATAAATAAATAAATAAATAAATAACTCCCTCAGGAGGAAAGTTTCTTATTCCCGCGTGAAGTTGCAGACGCGCGGCCGGATGCTCTGTCTGCACTAGAGGTCCCCTGAATCAGGGGAGACTAGGTCCTCTCCCCCTCTTACCCCCCCCTTCATCTTTCTCCAGTGTTCCTGTCTGGCCTCGAGAGCACCCCTAGGAGTTTGGCCAGTAGAGGGCGCCCAGGCCCGGCCAGAGTCAGTGAAGGGGGGCCAGCGCCGCCGCTCCTGGCCGGAGCGCACCCGCCTTCCTAGCCGAAAGCCTGGCTTTGGCCCCGGCGTCCGGGGAACCAGGCGGGGGCGCAGTCTGGGCAAAGCGCACCGGCCGCGATCCGTTTCCTAGGAGCCGGGAAATGGTCGAGGAGGAGGGACGGGCGGGGCGCAAGGGAAGGAGGAGGAGGAGGAAGGGGCAGCCGGGGAGCAGCTAGGGGCATTCTGGGCGCAGGCCTCCGCGCCGCAGGGACCTTTGGCCGCCGCCGTCTCCATCGCGCCGCACTCGTCCAGGAAATGGCGCGAGTGGCCGCGGGCGACGGGCCGGGTGCCCCGCGCTCCCCTCCCCCGCGGTGGCCACCGCGTGTCCGCAGACGTCACGGCGGGCGCTGCTCCCCGGGAGAGAGGGGCAGCCGGGGCCGAGACCCGGGGAGAGAGGGAGGGAGAGAGGGAGGTAAGCCGCCTGGCAGCCCAGTTTCTCTCCCCTCCCCACACCAAGTCCCGCCCTCAGCCCCGGGGCGCCGCGGCGGCGGCTGCTTCTCTCCTCTTTGTAACCGAGGAGTCGAGAAATGTGAGAAACGTGCCCTGTGTTACTTATTTGGGAGTCGAAAATTTATGCCCAGCTGAAAGCGCCCGGGGAAATATTACATCAGATGAAATGACAATGATTAAAATCAGCCTCTCCCCCGCCCCCTCCCCGAGCCCGGAGGAGGCCCGGGCGCCGCGTGGCCGGACGGCGGGGGGCTGGGGCGCAGAGGGCGCGGGGCTCGGGCGCAGCGCTCCCGGAAGGGTCCTGGTCGAGCCCCCCGGCACCCAGGCACAGGGCTCCGGGACCCACGGGTGGGGATCGCGAGGTGGGAAGGAAGTGGTGGCGGTGGGGAACGGTGCATTTTTTGTCGCGGAGCGCGGCAGGCGCGGGCGCGCGGAGCTAATTGCGACTCTAATCCTCTGCCCCGAGGCGCAGCCGAGCCCCGAGCCAGGAGTCGCCCGCGCGCGCCCGCTCGCGCTCGCCGCGCCGGGGTAATTTGGAACCGGATCGCTGCCCTTTGCAATCCGGGCTGGGCCGCGGCGAGGCGCACAGGCTACCGGCTGATTTTGGGGGGCTGTTTTCCCCCTTCCAGCCATCGGGGGAGGCCGCTGGAGAGAGAGGGAGGAGAAGAGGTGGGAGCGGCGGGAGGGCAGCCGGAGAGCGGCGCGAAGAGGAGGCGGCGGCGGCGGCCGCGGCGAGGAGGGAGGAGGCGAGGGGAGGGCGGGGAGGGGAGGCCCCGGCGCGGCGCGCCGCGAGGGGCCGCGCGGAGCGGGGGCCGGGGCGGGAGGGGTGGGTGGGGGGAGGGTTGGGGGCGAGAGAGAAAGTAACTCCAGGACGAGACCGGAGCGACCCGCGCTCATCGAGCACTAGGCGACGGGGCTGCGCCGGGCGCCCGACACCGGCGGCTGCGGGGGGCGGGGGCTGCGCCGGTGCCCGATCCACCGCTCCGGCTCCGAGGTAAGCCCAGCACGGGCGGCCACCGCTCAGTGTCGCACACCCCTGGTTCCCAAAGTGGCTGCAATGCCGAGAAAGTCACTCGGCCTCGGGCCGGGACCTAGGCTGGGGGGTGGGGGGGCGGGCTGCTTTGTCCCTCTGCTGAGCGCAGGGGCTGGCGGCGTGGGGGCGCCTAGCACAAAGGCCTGGCGCGCACGGGGCGGGGGGTGCCCACGTGGGCTGGTCCTAGCCGCGGGTGGACCCTCCCCACTCGGCCGGGCTCCGATCATCCTGCCGCACGGTATGTGCGTCCAGGTCCTCCACACTCTGGTTCCAGTACGGGCTTGAGTGCCCCGCAGAGCTGGTGACTTTCCTGAGTCTGAAACCGGCTCCATGCAGCTGGGGTTTCGGGGCTCACAGGAACCGGGTTGGCGCCCAAATTATAGAAAAGAAAAAAGTCTCTAACGGGACAGATGTGCGTTCTCTGACGCCCACCCTACGAGTCTCATGCCAGACGCACTGGTGGTGGTTCCACGCTCAGGAAGGATGTGGGGCGGGGAACGCGCCGCCCCAAGACCGGACCTCGGTCTCTAGAACTCCGCTGCCCACACGTACCCCCTGACCTGGATGCGAACACCCTCATTCTCCCACTCCCGCGCCACTGTAGCACCTCTCTCCCCTCCCTCGAGAAGCCCCCGACTGTAGAAAGAAAGATAAACCTCCAAGTTTTCACTCCGCGTCTCAAACGTGCATGAAGGAATTTAACTGCGCGAGTGAATAACAGCATTAGTTTCAATTAATTTTTTTTAAATCCCGGCAACAATAAACTTTGAGAACAAAAGCGCTTTTACGTCCTTAATTAGGCGAGCTTCCCATCTGTGGTCTTGAAGTGTCTTGCCTCTTGATTTAACTTTGTCTCCGCCCCTCACTACACTCCTACCCCTTCTTCGCTGGGCCCTTCGGGTACCCTAGCCATCCCGCCCGCGGCGCCGGAGGTTCGGCCCAGCGGATCCTGTAGCCCCGAAGTTCACACCGGCCGGCTGGCTTTGCGGCGGGGCTGGCGCGCACCAGGTGGCCTGCCGCGTCCCTCCCGTTCCACCCCTGGATAGTCCTGCAGGCCCCTGGCACTGCTGCCTCGGGCAAGCGCCCAGGGCGTAGAGCTGAAGGGAACCGGAGAGGCGCCTTCTGTTTACCTTTTATGGTTAAAATAACAGCTTAGGAAAAGAAGCGACTTCACGAGGGAAGCGATTTAGTGAAATCGTCTCAAGCTGCCGCAGCTCAGCCAGTTTAATCACCCCCAGAGAGCTGAACAACTGGGAGCACAATGGGACACAAAATCATTTTGTGTGTAAATGAGCGTGGCATTCTGCTCACTTCCCTCTGTTCAGGCGGGAGGGGCTCGACTGCGGGTGGGCGCGGGACCGGGGTCTCCCACCACAGCTTGGAGAAGAGGGTCAACGCTGGGCCAGTTTGCAAACCCGCTGAGGTCTCTGCAACAGGCGGCTTGGCCAAGCCTCAGCCGCATCTGGGTCCTGGTGTTTGGTGCAGTGAACTTGTGTCTCTTACCAATCGCACTTTTATGTTTGTGATCTCAGCAGTGTACTGGGAAGAAGGGTCGTGGTCCACCACAGATGCGTTTGTCAGAGGGAGCAGTGGAGATTCGGGTCAAGGCTTAAAGGCCTGGGGCTTCCAATGGTGAGTTTCTGATTTTGTGCTGTGAGAAGCAGACTGAGAACAGGCTGGGGCAGCTTGGGAGAAGGGTGCTTGATGCTATTTGTCACTTCTGAGTTGGGTCCTGGTAGTGGGAAAATGTGGTGCTTTGGTAGAATTTGGGTGGGAATTCTTCTATCTCTGTTGACCTTCAGTGGGTGTTCCTTTATGACACCCTGTCCCCGACCCCCTCCCAGGGCCGGATAACCCATCACTTGGGTCTGTTTTGGTTTTTCAAAAACTTCCTTGAGATAAATGAGCTGGAATGTCCAAAGCAAGGGGGTCTGGACAGCCACCCAACTCCTCCATGAGGATAGAACACCCTCCCTCACCCCTAAACAGTTTCAGGTCAGGGAACTTCCCAGGTCAGTGAGGATGAGGAACAAATCATGGGAGAGGAGGGACTTTCCTTCTTCCATTTAATCATTTCAGTCTGTGTACCTCAGACCATGTTTTATAATTGGATGCTGAATGTTAAGGCAACAATCTAGAAGTTTAACAGATAAAAAGCGTAACGTGGGTACCCAAGGATGCCATGTAGTTGACCCATAAGGGTTAAACCTCTGTCAGAGGAGTCCAGGTTATGTTTGTAGGGTTCTTCCTCCTCCCCTTCATGTGTGTATATGTGTGTCTGTGTCTGTGTGTCTGTGTCTGTGTGTCTGTGTCTGTGTTATCAGTGTGTGTGACTGTGTGTGTTCCATTTCCCTTTGAGACAGCCCCAAACCAGTGGAAGGGGTAGCTACAAACCTGCCCTTCTCTACTCTCCTTCATGGGCCCCCTGAAGAGCCCCCAGGGTAGCTTCTGGGGGCTGAGGCACAATTTTATTTCAGGTGTCTGTGGCACATAGGAAAGTCCCTGAGTAGCTAAGGGGAGGAGGGGAGAAAGCCCATTTGCTGATTGCTGTCTGGCCAGCTCTCAATGCCTCAAGGGCCTGTGATCCTGAGGGGGTCTGGAATACATTAGGCCCAGGCAGCACCATTCTGGGGGTCTATTGGAGAAGCAGGGAGGTGCAGAGTAGGCAAACAAAGACAGGTCCTGTCTGCTGTGGTAGCTCTGGGTGACTGGTGGCTTCCCAGGGATGCTTCTGAATCTCTGTGCCCTGGCTTCTGTGGAGAGAGGTGTCCTATGCAAATTGCATCTTCACTGGATGGTGAGAGATCCTAGGCTCCCCAACCAACTGAGGGGAGCAGCACCCCCCACCCCCAAGGTTCTCTCCACTGATGCAAGAGGAGACACGCTTGGTAACACGGCTCTAACTCAAAATACCAAAGAAATCAGATTTGTTCTGAAACATTGCAGGGCAATAATGGCGAGCATATGTTTTAGGCTGTCATTAGCCAAATTAGGCAGACATGGAACTGCCTAGAAGACGTGTGTGTGTGTGTGTGTGTGTGTGTGTGTGTGTGTGTGTGTGTGTGAGAGAGAGAGAGAGAGAGAGAGAGAGAGAGAGAGAGAGATGCTATGCTGTGGCCTAGAGGTCTGTTTTGGGTTGTGTAGGATTGGTGGGATCTGGGAAAGCTGCCTGGTATACATAGGGTCCCAGACAGCATCTTTGCAAAAATCTCTGGTGGCGGCTGAGAAATAAGTCACTGCTTCCCCACAGATACTCTGGGCAGGGATGGAAGCCTAGATGCCTCACCGCAAGGAGCGGCCGAGCGGGTCCTCGCTTAACGCACACGGCAGCAGCGGCACCGCGGTGAGCTTGACTGGTGGGCTGGGTTGGCCCCTCTTTGCTCTTTTCTAGGGTACCTGCTCACTAGCGGCAGGTCTTCTGAGACCCAGCACGTAAAAGATGGGTATTGACTGGCTGTACAATTATGTATTTTTTTTTTGAAACGAAAATGCTCTTAATTTGATGTGAAATTTACTACACGTATAAAGCTCAACGCCTTAGGTGCCGAGGAAGTCACTAATTTAGAGGTGTCTCGTTACTGAGACAAACTTGCAAAAAACCCCTGAATCCCAATTCACAAATTGGTGATTCGTTTGTCAGGGGATATTTCACATCTAACACATAAGCCCGCGACCTTTAATTAGAATTTTGCAGTTTGTTTTATGCCCCTGGAGGCTGACACCTTGGAAAAAAAAATTTTTTTTTTCTTGATTTCTTATTGCTAATAAGCATCCTTCTCCCACCCCCACCCCCAGTACTTTGAAGAAAATGATGCAAACACACTTAATTACAGTGGTGGCCATAATTTGTCAGCTGAATATGTGATCAGGCACAAGAAGAAGTGATCTGATTAAATATTTGATCACATTCGAAATAAAGGCCGTTCAGGAACCCTTGTTTTTCTATGTATTTTGATCTCTAGGAGGGAGGAAATATGTCCCGGCTGTCACTCACCCGGTCGCCTGTGTCTCCCCTGGCTGCCCAGGGGATCCCACTGCCAGCTCAGCTCACCAAAGCCAATGCACCTGTGCACATCGACGTGGGAGGTCACATGTATACGAGCAGTCTGGCTACACTCACCAAGTACCCTGACTCCAGGTAAGATCTCTGCTCCTAGTGTCGGGCATGTGATATAAAGCCCAGGCCTCCATAGAATACCGTTTAGGGTATGGTACCAAGGCCTGTCATTCCCCAACACTCCTGAGTGTTTGACAGACTGCTTGTTGAAGGGCACTTCTGACAGTGGCTTTTGACCCTGCACTGATAACCTTTGTGGCATAACATGGAGTTCCTGACTTTCATGGCAGATTCGTTCCCACATGAGCCTGGCCAACTGCTGGTGGGGAAGTCTTCACAGAGTGACACCTAGGAGTCAGGTGTGGGTAGACTTGGTCAACCCTATTTCCAGTCCTTACCCTTGGGGAAAGGCATGGGGTGTCAGCTGCAATTGTACCCTCCTTTGTCTGGGCGGCCACCATTTGATCCTAAGTGCTAGGAGCGGCCTTTCTTTTGGAGGGCGTGGCAGTGAGTTAGCAATTGCAGGGCAGTCAGATATTTTCGACAGTGCCTGAGCAAGACTTCTGCACCCTGTAATGTACACAAAATTATCTGCGGCCGAGACCCTGAGAGAGGGCTCACAGACTCTTCTTAGGAGGGACCCTTAGCGGCACGGTGCTGGGTACCAACCACTCGATGACTCTTCTCATGGATTCACTTCCCAAGGACACACTTTAGCACGGCAGCCGGCAGCAAGACTAGTGTGGGGTGGGCTACGTCTCTGTGAGCATCTCCTACAGGTGACACTTCGTTGCGGCTTGCTGGGCCCATGCTGCTTGCTCCTAGCATGGTGCAGCAACAAGCAGCATTGGCCAGCAGGAGGGCAGACCTGTTAGGCATCACCTCTCTTTTATACATTTAAAATAAGAAGAGGAATTAATTAATCCCCTAGATAACTGAGGGCTCATCACCAGGATGGATGCTCAGCCAGGGTAGATTCAGAGCCTAGAGGATTGCTGTGCAGAGATGTCTGGGCAGAGGCTTCATCGTTACGGGAGTGCCCCTGGAGAAGGGAATGGGGGAAGGAGATTTTGTATCTGGCAACCCAGAGACTAGGTGCAGGGTCCTTACGAACTTGGAGCTTTGACAGAGCAGGAGCCAGGAGGCTGTACACTGCATGGGCCACGTGCTTGCTTGCAGAGCCCCCGTGTCTAGGCTACGAGATGGATTCTGTTCATTTAATTTCAGTTTTGCCTTCTGCGGCGTTCCTGAGTTGTGTAAGATAGATCATCCCTTAATCGGCTGACGATGTTTGTGAGGGAAATTCCTAAAAATCTTTGCCCACAACCTTCTTGGAAGAGCGTTTTCTGAAACCTGACATTTACCTTCCTGTAGCAGCTGCCACCCGGACCTGGCGGGCAGGGAGGGGCTCCCTTCCCATGTTTCTCTCTAATGGCTTTTGGGGATTGAGGAGCCTTTGCCCTCCTTGTTCCACAGTGTGGTTTGCCCTTGCTTACCAACTTGCTGTACAGTGGGGCATAGTCTTCCTCTGGGGAGTTGAACACTTGGCCCTGTGATGTGACTTGTGGGACCCTCTGCAGGCCAGGTGTGCCCGGAGCGGGTAGCAGTCTGTTGGACTTTACCAGAGCTGGATTCAGGGTGACTCTGTCGTTCTGCCTGATTCAGCGAGCTGTTCACTAGGCCTGAAGCCGAGGCCTAGAGCAAGGACTAGGGCAGCCTATGAGCCAGCAGAGACAAGAATTCGTTGGGGAGCTACACAGCTGTTGTGAAGTACCATTTATGCCACCACCACCCCCACCCCCCATTTTTTGAAGTGGATTAGGAAAAGACGTATCACTGACTGGGCAGGTGGAGATGTGAGAGTGCTAAGGTTAGCAATGGAGACAGCTCCAGATGCTGATACTGTTCCCAACCCCCACTGGGAACCACTGCCCAACCCAAGGGTCCCCAAGTTCATCCTTGGCTGATTGAGGTAACCTAGACCCTGTGGGCCTGGTGCTGGGTGCCTCCTCTGGTTCAGCCTGAGTCAGTAGCCTAAGGTTGAGAGTGGACTCTTGGTCTGCCTCTCCCTGTGTGCTGTTCATTGGGTGTCCCCTAGCTGCTGCTGGCACAGGAGCAGCTCATGAAGATGGTCAAGTGCTCCGGAACTAATAGAACTGAGCACTAAACCATTCAGGAAGTCAGTGAGCATTTTAAAGGGAGAATGAGGGTGGAGGCATATGATGGTGTCCGTTATGTATCAGGGCAAGTGGCTGGATGGTGCTTTATGCAGGTCCCAGCTTATTCCACAGGAGACCTCCAAAGTCGGCTCCTCATAGCCCATGTGCTCCCTGAGTGTTCCCCGAGAGGGCTAGCCTAGAGGTGGTTCCCACCAAGACTTATAAAGCCACCAACAGAACTCAGGAGGTCACATAGGAGCTTACTCACAAGACCCTGTGAGATATTAAGGGTTTCCTTATGGTGACCATTTAAAATACTTCAGGCCGGGCAGTGGTGGCGCACGCCTTTAATCCCAGCACTTGGGAGGCAGAGACAGGCAGATTTCTGAGTTCGAGGCCAGCCTGGTCTACAGAGTGAGTTCCAGGACAGCCAGGGCTACACAGAGAAACCCTGTCTCGGAAAAATACAAAAACAAAAACAAAACAAACAAACAAACAAACAAAACAAATAAAATACTCCTTCAGCCTGGCCCTCTGTAAGGCTTGGTTGCTGGGACCACCACAGGCCTCTGTCCTAAGAGGAGGTGCCATTAGTCCCAAGAACAGACGCCAAAACATGAAAGGATCTAGAACTTGCTTGTCTTGGCTCAGTAGATAGACTAGAACCCAGCCAGCCCTGCATTGTTGGTGGACCGGGAATCCTCTAGACCGACAGGACACTCTGGAGCCTCAGCCAACTCCAACGTCAGAGCACTTTGGAGCCCAGCCAGACCTAGCATTTTGCTTGCTACACAGAACAGACCGTTTGAGCTAAGCCGGCGAAGGGTGGCAAGAGAGTTCCCAGGAAGGCTGAGGCGTTGAATTTGCTGACTCACCTTTACACGTGACTCTGACCTCTTTCTTGCTAGAGCCTGGTGTGGACCCTTAGTTATCTGCCCTGGCACTTGATCTCCTGACTGAGTCACACCTGTGTCTAGAGATTCTGGATGCCCCCTCAGATCCCCACAGCTAAATGATCAAGTATTTCTGGGCGAGGTCTCAAAGGAGCTATGGAGCTCAAGGGTTTTCAGCAGGATTACGGTCACCGGGCAGTGGGATCCTGAGTTCTCATTGATTGACTGACTGGTCAGGGTGGTCCTGCATGCAGGGGAATGTCACATACCCCACCCAGAGAGACAGAGACAGAGAGACTGAGCGCCAGACACAGTGACCTGGTGTGGAAGGACCCTTGGATCTGCTCTTCCCTGTGTCCTGGGGAAGATACTGTCACCAACAGCCTCCAGAGCCCTGAGGAGTTACATTTGTCAGTTGTACCTCTGGTTCTTCAGGCTCAGGTCTCCACACCCCTAACCACAGGCTCTGACCTGCTCACTCCCGTCCGCCAGGCAGTCTTGCCCTTTATACTGTGGGCCGTGTCCCCAGGATGAGAACAAGCAATGGCACGGCCATGAGAACATGGGATGGCATGGATTGGGAATACCTAAGAAGGGGAATCGGGAGCTCCAAACCTCTCAGCTCCTGGCAGATGTCGTGCTCTGGGTATGCATGGCTGTGACTGGGAGTGGCCAACTTGGACTAAGCAGGGAGTGGGTGGCTGTAGGACCAGGGACGGGGAGGATTCTTAGAAGGGGGCGGGGTAGTTGGTGCGGGCAGAGTGAAAGGGCTTGGACTGAACTAGCTTGTGCAGGCCGGGCTAGTTAGTTAGTCTCCTAGCCCCTCATTACCCCAGTTCCCCAAGGCTTTCTTAGAAACAGTTCTCCCAGATTCGACGTCAACCAGCCATTGAAGGACACGTGCCCACCTCTCTTCAGCTCCCAAGCTGGTTTTTTAGCTGCTTCCAACCCATTTAGGGGCTCCTGATTATCTAGATTAGCTTGAGATAGCTTAGCCAGCACGGCACTTAGCAAAAAAAACAAATGCTGCCACTTTGGGAGGCACTAGCTGAGGCTCTAAGGTCAGGTTCCTCCTCTGTGGAATGGATAGGGGGAGGCATCAGGGACTCCCCTAAGGCCTTCCCAGAAGCCCTGTGTTGTCTGTAACACTGTCTTTCTAGGTAATTGTGTTCCTTCCTACTGCCAGCCTCTCACCGGGTATGCATAAGCTGTGATGGGTATGAATACCTGACCCAGGCTTGGACCACATGATCAGGCTTCGGGGTTGTGTGCCAGCTGTAGTCCACATGCAAATACACACTCCCTCTTGATGTCTCTTCCTTATGGGTCCTTAAATGAACAGCTACGGGGCACTCTCCCAGTTGCTCACTGTGTTAGCTGGCAAGTGTCACTGCCTGGGTCTGCCTGAGACTGTGACCTGCGCCTATTGGCTGAATGTGCTTTGTGTGTGACATTGGTTGAGAACATGTGTCCCCAGAGACTTGGTTGGCATGCTTTTAACAGGAGATGTGTGGCTTGGGGCTGGAGGGCTGGGTAGTTGACACAAGGTTTGTTGGACACGTCCTTCCAGCATGAGTGTGTGTGTTTAGCTCAGACCAGCTGGTTTATGTGGCTGTCTGTGTCTCATCATGGTTTTCCAGCCCTGTAGTTGGTGTCAGTGGGCCATTGGACATAGCTGGATATGTCCCTTAGCTAGTTGTGGTTTGTGAATATGGCTGGAGTGTGTGGCACAAGGACCCTAGTGTCCTGTGTATGTGGAAACGACCTGTCTCTGCTGTATGTGTGTGTGCTGGCAGTTGTCAGGCTTGGCAAGTTCTCTAAGTTACCCACCGGTGGCCTCTTGCCCCTCCAGCTGAGTGACCCTAAGGAGTAGGGGCAGGGCAGGTAAACTCAGCCCTACCCTGCCCATATCCCCATCTTGCCTGTCTCTCCCAGAATAAGCCGTCTCTTCAACGGCACGGAGCCCATTGTCCTAGACAGTCTCAAGCAACATTATTTCATCGACCGCGATGGGGAGATTTTCCGCTACATCCTGAGTTTCCTGCGGACGTCAAAACTGCTGCTTCCAGATGACTTCAAGGTAAGTCCGCAGCCGGCGGCACCCCCTGCACTGCCTGTGTCGTGGCATTACACAGGGGATGCTGTGACTTAATAAATGGACCCACGGTTGTCATGGCAACCGCAAAAAAAGTTAACCGATGAAGCCGAGGGCTAGATCAGTTTTTCTAAACTCGTTTTGCTTTCTCACATCTTCAGCGTATTTATCAGGGTGTAACAACAATTAAGCTTTGGCACTTTACCCCAGGTTGATGTTAGCTGTGCTTAAGGACTGCTGTGCACTGGAATAGAGTCGTTTAGAGGTCCCAGTGTCTGTTCCTTGTTGGCAGTCTGCAGTGGGGAAAACCCTGGAGAGCCCAGGTGGTCACCCTTTTAAACAAACATCACTCCCCGGACTTGGGGGAGCTTGTCCTAGGTGGCTGATATGACTCCCTGTGGTCCTGCCTCAGTGCTGAGCCCCACTGAAATCCTAAGACTCAAACTCAGGCCTGCCTGTCGCTGGCAAATGTCTGTCTTCGTGCTTTCTTGCTGCTGAGGTTTCCTGCAGCAACCAGCAGCCCTGGGGCCCTTTTTCATCCAGCCTAGTTACTAAATGGCAACAACTGAGTTTGGTCTGAAAATAGACCTACACAGGAGGAAGCCATAGGCTTTGCCCCTTCCAGTTTAGAAAATAGAGGTTGAGTCTGAATTGCATGGGGCCAGTACTTCAGAAATTTTATGTACCTGCTGTGGTGGATCATACCTTTATCTCAGGCTTCTAAGATTGAGGCAGGGGGATTGCTGAATGCTGTAGTCTAGCCTAGCCTACAGAGTAAGACACTATTTCCCCAAAAAAGGGTAGGGCGGCATCAGCAAGTGTAATGGCACATGCCTTCAATCCCCAGCACAGGAGGCAAAGCATGGCTGGGACTTTTTAAGTTCGAAGCCAGCCTGGTCTCAAAACAAAGAAACAAAACCAAATAAAAAACAAAGTATAGTCAAATGATGGGGAAAACTGGCCTGGCTGAGTTTGAAAGTAACAGTGTTGCTCTGAGGGCTGGCAGAAGAATGGCGTGGACTATGTGAAGAGTCTGAGGAGGGCCTGGGATGGCACTGGAGAGAAGGTCTAGAGCCCTGGGCTTGTGGACCAGGAAGAGAAGGGGGAGGAGGAGGCTGCAGTGATACCTGGATCTTGGTGGGTGGTTCAGCATTTGGCACAGCTGAGAGTAGGGAAAGAAAGATCAGGTTTGCAAACTAGATCATGCTGGCTCTTGTGTGAGAGAACAGGGAACAGGGGCGGGGACAGGAGGCTGGATTACATATGTCACTGTGTTTCTGGTTTGCTGGGGGCAAGGCAGAGACTAACTTGTAGGAAGAGGGTGCAAAGGCTGTGAGTGTGGGTTATCGGCCCAGGAGGGTGTGCCCAGCTCGTAGCTTGAGCCCTAAATCAGTTAAGTAAAAGTCTAGGCATGGAATGTTCTAGGCTGTGGGGAAAGATTTGGTGCAAAGATGTCACATAAAACTCTAGGAGCTGGTGAGAACGGGGAGAGCAGAGACCTGGGGTGGAGCCTCAAGGAATCTTTATGGAAAGCAGGCAGGCAGAGGTCACAGCTCACTGCGGGCCTGGATGATGGGTTAGGGTCCTGGGTCTCTGGGGCCAACAAACAGAAACACACTGGGCTTCCAGGGTAAGCTGTGCTTTGAGAGTTGGTCTTCCCTGCTTTTGCTGCAGGACCCTCAGTCACCACCTATAGATGCACTAAGCCTGCCTTATAAACCATGGGCACAGGCCACTTAGTGTCAGGGTCTGAGGGACAGTTGTGAGTGTTGTGCTTGGTGAGGAGTAAGCTTTGCTTTTATTCCCGGGGAACCTTGTTGTGCTCTCTACCTGCTGGACAGGGACAGGAATTCCAGATCTTCTGTCCTTTAATCCTCACAGTGGTCCCTGGGGTCCAGTGTTTATATTCATTGTAAAGAGGGGAAGCTGGCCCAGGGCAGGCCAGATCCAGGCTCATAGGCCTTGTGGCTGAAATGCACTCCATGAAGGTCTGCCTGGGAGCTGAGCAAGTGCACAATGCCCTCAAGCCAGTTTGGTGTCTTTTTGGAGTAGATTTTCAGGAAAGCAGCATATGCCCAGCTCTTGGTCCTCTGATTTAGCTTCCAGCTCTTTCTGTCTCTCTCCTCCCCTTCTTCCTTCCTTTGTTTCTTCCTTCCTTTCTTGTTTTTTGTTTTGTTTGTTTGTTTGTTTTAATCTGAGACAAGGTTTCTCTGTTTCACCATACCTGGAACTCATTCTGTAGACCAGGCTGGCCTCGAACTCAGAGATCTGCCTGCTCTGCCTCCCAAGTGCTGGGATTAAGAGCGTGTGCTACCACCACCCGGCGTCTCCCATCTCTTTCTGTGATGTTTCTGTTTGCCATCCAGTTGAAGATCCAGAAGAGAGTCTCAACAGATGTGCCCCAGCCTTCTCTTTATGTTCATACTCTTTATGTCAGGGGACAGTCAACGGAGTTGTATTTGTCCATCGTTACCGTGGAAACACCCATCCTCATCCACACTGTGTCCTGGGAATTATGATGTCTATGTAGAGGGAAGGGGCCCCACTGGGGACGGGATGAGCCACCAAGATGGACTGCTTCCCTGACACTCTGTGATTGTCGACAGGACTTCAACCTGCTGTACGAGGAGGCGAGGTACTACCAGCTGCAGCCCATGGTGCGCGAGCTGGAACGCTGGCAGCAGGAACAAGAGCAGCGACGTCGTAGCCGGGCCTGTGACTGCCTGGTGGTGCGGGTCACCCCTGACCTGGGTGAGCGGATCGCACTCAGTGGAGAGAAGGCCCTCATCGAGGAGGTCTTCCCAGAGACCGGAGATGTCATGTGCAACTCTGTCAACGCCGGCTGGAACCAGGACCCCACGCACGTCATCCGTTTCCCTCTCAACGGCTACTGTAGACTCAACTCGGTTCAGGTAAGGGCCGTGGGCTGCCACTACAGGGGTCCCAGGATGCAAAGAGGTGGGGGAGACACAGTCCCAGTAGAGAATGGACGGAACTCATACAGAAAAGGCAACAATGTGTCAATGCATAATTTATGCCTTGCTCATAATTAAATGATGGTGCCTGGGGGATGGACTTAAAAAAATTGATCTGTACTTTTCTTTTCCCCTAAAAGGATGTTCTATAAAGAAAAAAAAAAATGGCCCAGAGTATTTTCAACAGAACATGCTTCATTTAGCATGCAGAGGCTGACTTTGGATTCAAATTAAACCCAGGCACCAGGAAAGGCAGGGAACCTTCCTATGAGGCTGGCCCTGGGGCCACTAGCAGGCTACAGCTGCCCAGAGCTCTTCTTTCTTTCTGAGACTTATGTGTCTTTCTGGGTGTTATGTGTAACCCAGGCCAGGTGCAAATTGGAGCTCCTCCTGCCTCAGCCTCCCGAGGCCTGGGATTACAGGTTGCACCCACACACCCTACTGTTTCTCTCTGAACTGGCTTTACCAGGGAGGATGAGAGTAAGAACTTGGAAACCAAAATGATGTAACAACCCCATTTCTGAAAGCGGTTTCCTGACTCAGAGGCACTTAGATGTTGGGCTTAAGACAGAAAAGAGCCTTTAAGCGAAAGCCCCCTCCCCACTTCCTGAAGGCTACGGGTAAGAGTTTACTAGTTACAGGACTCCAATATAAGACCAGTCCTCACCTTCCCAGAGACATAAATTCAGGAGGCCGTGTAGGCCCACAGAGATGCATACTCTGAGAGGGCTCCCCCTCTTTCCCTCCACCTAGAAGTCCTTTGAGCTGATGAGCCCTCGGGCCTCAAACCATCTGGGACTCAGATCCAGGAAGCAGGTGGCTACCCTGAGGCTAGGGGGCAGGGGCTTTCCATTATTGGAGCAGGAGATTGAGAGAGGGGGTGCCTGGGGCTGTGTGTGTGTGTGTGTGTGTGTGTGTGTGTGTGTGTGTGTGTGAAGATGGGGTGGGCACACCCTAGATAACCCCTTTCCTTCTGTACTTCTCTGTTGTGCACCCCTGAGAATTGTGGGGAAATAGCCTGGGTGGAATAGCAGAACCCCATGCTGGGTATATAAGTTGAGAGGCCCCTGGGCCTGACTGTGCCTGTCCCTCCTAGGATAGGTTCCAGCTGGTGGTACAACTAGGACCTTTGTCAGTCCCGGGACTTTGTCATTGGGACTCATCAGAAGGTAGCTTGCTCTGTCTGGTACCCGGTTGCCCACCAGGCCAGGCAAACTGGTAGCCGGCCACTGCTGACCTCTTACTCTTCCCCTGCAGGTCCTGGAAAGGCTGTTTCAGAGAGGGTTCAGCGTGGCCGCATCCTGTGGGGGTGGTGTGGACTCTTCCCAGTTCAGCGAGTACGTCCTTTGCCGGGAAGAGCGGCGACCGCAGCCCACCCCAACTGCTGTCCGGATAAAGCAGGAGCCCCTGGACTAGGCGCTGCCTCGGTGCCCACCTAAGACCCCCTCAGTCCTGGGGCAACCCCAAGGACACGGAAAGAGCCCTGAGGAGGCCTGCCTGTTTGTGCTTCACAGTGAGCACAAGACTGAGGGCAGGAATGGAGGGGCTGAGCTCACCCCTGGGAACGCCAGGTGCGGAGGCAACGGGATGAGGGGTGCCGGAGACATGCCCACGGAAGGACTGTCGATGTGACCCGCAGATGCTGTTGCTGCAACTGTGCTGCCAGCTTCCCAACCCTCCTGCTCCTCAGCCCGGTACATCATCCTCTGCTGGGCCAGTCACTCCAGAGCAGCTGTTTCTCCTCCACACTTGGCAGACATATTTTTCTACAGTATTTAAAACAGGACTAACTGTCTCTGCACAGGTCGGCAAGGCTAATGGGGACCATCGCTGCTTTTACCTGGTGCTCGGTTCTCAGTCCAACTGTTCAGCAAGCCTTGCCAAGGATGGGCCGCCGGCATTTGGGCCCAGGTGCCTGCTGAGCTGGCTCTGTGGGGACAGATGTGGGGGTGGCGGTGCTACAGGAGATGGGACAGGGTCCTCCAGGGGCAGGGCAGCCAGGAAGAGGAAATGGGGGCTGTGTGACTCTGACTTTTATCTGAGACACTCTGCTGCCACCCGTGTCCCAGACTGCACTTGGTGCACACCTGACCTGCTAATGCCCAGGGGCTTCCAATCCCAACTGATTTGTGCTCACATCTGGGTTCTTGGAGAAGTCTCCACCCACCCAGTCAGCATGGGGGCCACAGCTTATCTCAGGAATGGGCCCTTCTACCAAGGGACCCATCTGTCAGCATCACTCTCTGGGTCCCCAGCTCAGGGAACCACCCTCCACCCTAGGTCCAGTTTTCCCATTCATACGCACATCAAGTGTTACCGAAATGTTCTAAACTAGCCAGTCTCTTAAGGCCCAGACCTAAGCTTACCTAGTGCTCTTAACCCCAGATTTCCAACAAGGACTGGTCCTGAGAGGTCCTCACAGATCAGCTCTCTTCCAGACGACAGGCCCAAAAGATGGATACCCTGGCCTTGTCACATCTCCCCTAGCTCCTCCCAAGTGGAGGAACCACAGAGAACTGACAGATGGGGTGCCCTGGCCGGCACTCCCTTGTGTATAACGCCTGTAGACTTGTATATGTCTCCTTTAATATTGTAAAGATGCTGATGTACAATTGTTCTGTGTTTGTGTAAACACACCGCGTTCCTGGTTCATGCCATAAAGGACGCTATAAAGCAAAAGACTGAGGCTCCATCCTGTGCAGAAGCCGCAGCCAGATTCCCACACTTGTCTTCTGGCAGACAAGACTTGAGGGCAGTTTCCTTCTTGGGTTCTTGTGGTTCAAATCGAGGAAGGAGCAGCTTTCGGTGGGAGGCACATGGGTCACAAGCTTGCTGTTATTACTGCGTTTGGGTGTTTTCATTACTTCTGCAGATTCCCTCTGGGCTACAGGGATTCAGGGTTCTGATTCTTAGCCCCTAACCAGATGCAAAACTGAGAAGTAAGCAGGTTTCTGCAGGTTTCAGACCAGGCTCAAGGGTCTTGGATTTTTCACATCGTATTTTATCTGGAACTGAGTTGATGTTCCTCCTCCTCCTCCTCCTCTTTCTCCTCTTCCTCTTCTTCCTCATCTTCCTCTTCTTCCTCTTCCTCCTCTTCCTTCTTGATGTCTGTTTTTGTTTTGTTTTGTTTTTTGAGGGAATTTACTGTGAATCCAAGCTGACCTGGAACTCACTTTGTACTCCTGATTGGCCTGAGACTCCTAAGTCCTGGGATTGCATCTGCTTGCCATATCTAACTTGTTCCTTTTAAACCCCAACACACGTACACAATGGTATGAGAATCTCGGGCCAGCCAAGGGACAGAGGCTGTGCAGCCAGCATGCAAACTGAATCGTGTGATGTCCCCTTCCAGGGAAGGAGTTAGAACATGTCACAGAGGCCTCTGATTTTAATGAGCTTTTTAATTTTTTTTTCTCAAAGTCCTCTATGTTTAATAAGCCCACGAGGATTCGTTTTACATGCCTGCCAAGGGCCACCAGCCATAGAGCTTGGGAGTACAGGCCAGCACCCTACATGGCCACAAGAGCTGCCATTCCAGTGTAGAATCTCATTTGCTGGTCAGACTTGTTAGGCTTCTCTGCTCAGCAGCATGTGTACAGCTGACACATCTGCATTTTGGCATCAGGCAGGTATCTGAGAGGAGGAAAAGGGTTGTGTTTGTTAGCAAGGAAGTCGTGTGGAAACGCCTAGTGCTCTGTGTGTTTATGGATTTTTTTTTTTTCCTGGCATAACAGCTAGCGTGAGTCCTGAGGGGTGGAGATTCTGTAGTTCTTTCAAGCCATCTTTTTGTGCAAGAAGTTGGAGCAGGGCATGGTGGGTACTCCTGAAATCCCAGAAGTTGGGAGGTGAACACAGGAAGATCAGGAGTTCAAGACCATCCTCAGCTTCGTGGGAGACTGGGACAGGAGGATCACAAAGTTGAAGGTTAGCCTAGGCAACTTAGTGAGAGCGTGTCTTAAAAGGTAAAGGGGGGCTGGGTGTGCCCAAGGACACTACTATCCCTCCTTGCTCCCCAAACAAAATAACAAAAACAGACAAGGTAGTATGATTTTTTTAACAACAACCGAAGCATCTAAATTTCCAGGGAAATACTATGCTCCCAAGGTGATCTTGTCAAAATATTCTTAACCTACATGATCAATGCACCCTCTCCTTAAAGCACAGACTGAACATCTCACCATAATCTCTCTATGAAATACCAGCACTACTCTCAGGGCTCCTCTGTAAAACCTCAGAACTAATTATTGCCTATAAGCAACCAGATAGAGAGCTGGAATCGCGCTACCTCCCACCAAACCTCTGCTACCAGAGCCAGGGAAAGCTATAACTGGTAGCCCTACCACTGCCCTGTGCATGAACTCAAGTTCACAACATTAATAATACCTCTTGGAAAGTGTTTTTTTTTTTAAAGCTATTACTTGACTGTGTTCCTTAGAAACAATAAAAGATATTTTATAAATGATAGCTGCAACATTGTTTCCAGCCCCTCTGAGGCTGGAAGGCTTTGGTTCTACAGAACTTTGAATATGGAGTCTATATTCAAATGCCAGGACTCCTGGATCCTGGTGGGAGTCAGGCCTTCAGCCGCTGTGGACTCTGCCAACACCCAGTGTGTGTCCTGCTGGCAGGTGTCACTGTGAGTGACATCTCTGGTACCTTTCCCAGATCCCAGCCTTAGACTCCAGGAGTATAGAGACTGATGACTCTCTTTTTATTCCTGGTATTGGTATGAATGCAAAGGGTCTCCTACAAACATTTGAGTACTCAATCCCAACTGGTCCAACTGTTGGAACTGTTCCTTGTAGAAGGAACTCTTAAGGACATGGTGTCTAGCCACGTGATCAACTCACACTGCCCCCACTGCCAGGCCTCTCTAGCCATGGTGGACGGCGCCCACATGAGCCAAGATAATCCTCCCTTAAGTTGCTTCTGCCATGTCACAGTGACGAGTAAAGTAACTAGTTGTGTGAATGTGTGTGTGTGTGTGTCAGAGAGTATGTGTGAGAGTGTATGTGTGTGTGAGAGAGTGTATGTGTGTGTGTATGTGAGAGAAAAGGTGCTTGTGTGTGTGTATGTGAATGTGTGTGAGTGTGTATGTGTGTGTGTGAGAGGGTGCTTATGTGTGTATATGAATCCTTGTGAACATGAGTGTATGTGTGTGAGTGTGTGTGTGTGAGAGTGTGTGTGTATGAGCGTGTGTGAGTGTGAGTGTGTGTGTGTGTGATCCAAGCCAAAAAGGGAACTGAGAGGAAGCCTTTGAGAACCAGGGATACAAACCACTAAACCCCCAACCAAGAGAAGACTAATTCAGCCTTCAACAGAGGCCCCAGATTTCCCCTGTGTGTTCCTTGGCAATGTCTGTCTGCCAAGATGGTTCTAACTCATTACACTGCTCATACTGAGGTAAACACTTTCAGTGGCTCAGAAGGATACTGCAGGCCACACAAGATGCAAGTATCAACTGTTAGGTCTCAAAGAGACCTACGACAAGTCTCCCTCCGTACCTGTGGCCTCTTCCCAACACTTCTTACCCCACCCCCCACCCCAAACCTCCAAGGGCCTGGGCTTCTGCTTCCTTCCCCAAGCTTGGTCCCTATGTAACGCAGCCATTTGGGTCACAGCAGGTTTCTCGGCCTCTTGGCCTGTGCTCTCTTGGTCTGCCTGCCCCTCTCTCATTTAGTCTGCCGGCCATGGTCAGCCTGGACTCTTTCTTCCCTCTGTCTTCTTTCTTCATTATATCTATAATAAAAAAATCTCCAAACTTTAGAGTAGGCATGCCCTCTTCTATCCCATGTTTGCATTCAGTAACTAAGTGATGAGGTGGGGCATACAGGTATCATCTCAGAGGACTAGAGGAAACAAATAATACAGGGCTCTGGGTAGAGCCAGAGCCAGAGGTCCAACTGATGGCCGGAGAGGACAGACAGCTACAGACATGGGGCCTGACGTCAGGGCTGACCCAGGTGTTGAATATAGTGTGAGGGTTATAACCTCAGCTGATTTTAAAGCACACGGGCAGAGCTGTTTAGCTACAGTGCTCCAGCTGTCATATGATACCAATGGTCTTAAGTGTCCCTTTCTGTCCCTACGATAAAATAATCTTGACAAACGTAACTCAAGGGAGAAACCTCTCATTTGATTCACAGTGCAAGGTTGCAGTCTATAACAGTGGAGAAGTCACGGCAGCCAGAACCTGAGGGAGGTGCTTCTGTCAAATCCATAGTCACAAACAGATCCGATGAGTGCGTGCCTGGCCAATCTCAGCTCACTCCTTTTTATTCAGACCAGGGCCCTGCCCTAGAAATAGCACCGCCCACATAGAAGATGGGTCTCTCCACTTCAATCAAGCTAATTAAGAAAGTCCTTCATTGGCATGCCCACAGGACAACCCAATCTAGAATATTCCTCATTGAGATTTCCTTTCCATGTGATTCTAGACTGTGTCAAGTTGACTATTAAAATAACAGCCACTGCCGGGCGGTGGTGGCGCACGCCTTTAATCCCAGCACTTGGGAGGCAGAGGCAGGCGGATTTCTGAGTTCGAGGCCAGGCTGGTCTACAGAGTGAGTTTCAGGACAGCCAGGGCTACACAGAGAAACCCTGTCTCAAAAAAAAAAAAAAAAAAAAAAAAACAGCCACGGCAGTTTTGTTTCACGTGTAACAAGGATGTGACAGTCTTTTTTTCTGCCCCTCAACTTGCAAAGCAGAGAGAGGGCTTGTACCCTCTGGAAGTTTGCTCAGTCCTCTGAAGATGGGCAGAGCTTAGTGACACTGAAAGATCTGGGTTACTAGAATCACAGAATCAAAACTCAGGCTGTTTACTGCTACAAGTTTTCGTGGTTTTGTTTGTTTGTTTGTTTTGTTTGTTTATTTTTTGTTTTTGTCAAAACAGGGTTTCACTGTGTACCCCTGGCTGTCCCAGAACTCACAGTGTAGACCAGGCTGGCTTTGAACTCACAGAGATCTGCCTGCCTCTGCCTTCCTAGTACTTGGATTAAAGACGTGCGTCGCCACTGCCCCTCAACTGCCACAGAGTTTTAGGCAATCTGCAAATGGATGTCCTTAAAAATATTTGTAAAAAAGCCAGGTATGATGGTACCTTTAATCCTAGCACCCAGAAGCAGAGGCAGGAAGAGCTTTGTGAGTTCCTGGCCAGCCTGGACTGCATATCAAGTTCTAGGCCAGCCAAGGGTATACAGAGAGACCCTGCTCAGATAGAAGGGTTGGGATCAAAAAGAATTGTGACTGTTAACAACAAAGAAATGAACTCAGCGTAGATCCTTCCATGTCAGTGCTCTCGGTAAAGGCAGGTGGATAACTGTGAGTTCAAAGCCAGCCTGGTCTACAAGAAAGGAAGGAAGGAAAGAAGGAAGATAGAAGGAAAGAAAGAAAGACATACAGAGAGAGAGATTGAGAGAGGGAAAGGAGGGGGGATGAAATGAATGATTTTATTTTGAGGCAGGGTCTCACTCAGTAACCCAGGTTAACTTCAAACTCTAACATCTTAGTTTCCTTGGTGCTGGGATTAGAGCTGTGTGGGGCCACTTCCAGTAAGGAACGGTTTTAATGTCTGTTCATCAAAAACAACTCTTGCCTTTATGGACACAAGGTTTCTCATTAGGCCGTCCAAGGTTTGTTGTTAGTATCCAAGGAAACCTTCAAAGATAAAGCTTTATTGT